CTTTGCTTTCCTTCAGTGTTTTGTAGTTTTCAGCATTAAGATCCCATACATGTTTTGTTAGATTTAGACCTAAGTATTTCATTCTTTTCAGGGCTATTGTAACAAATATGGGTTGCTTTTTTTCCCCCCAATTTCAGTTTCCAATGATTTATTGCTAAGATATAAAAATATGATTGATTTTTGTGTGTTGACCTTTAGTCTGCAAACTTGCTAACTCACTTACTAGTCCTAGGAGCTTTTTTTAAACAGATTCCCATGGGATTGTCTACACAGACAATCATGCCATCTGCAAATAGGGACAGTTGTTCTTTCTTTCCAATCTGAATGCCTTCTATTTATTTTTCTTGCACTGGCACGCACTTCCAGTAGGATGTTAAATATCAGTGGTGAGAAGACATCACTGCCTTGCTCCCAATCTTAAGGGGAAAGCTTTCTTTCACCATTAAGCATGTTAACTGTAGATTTTTGGTAGATGCCCTTTTCCAGGTTGAGGAAGTTCCCTTCCCCTACCAGCTTGCTGGCAACATTTATTATAAATGAATGCTCAAATCTGTTAAAAGTTTTTTCTGCACCCATTGACATAATCAAGTGTTTTTTTGTTCTTTAAGCTGTTAATATGGTGGATTACATCTACCGATTTTGGAAAACGGAACCAGCCTTTTGTTCTAGGGATAAATCACAACTAGTTGTGGTGTATTATTCTTTTTACATAACATTGCTGGATTTGATTTCCTAGTATTTTGTTGAGGATTTTTGTGCCTGTGTTCATGAGGATGACTGGTCTATAGTGTTCTTTTCTTGAACTGTTTTTGTCTAGTTTTATAAAACAGATGTGTGTGAGACACTTTTCTAAGGTCTTGGATGATAGTTTTGCTATTTTTAATCATCATAAAAACGTAAGAGTGATCTTATCTTTGCTTTTCTGTTAGAATTTACTTGACTTCAAGTTTCTGACCAGGAAAACAACTCCCAAAGATAACAACAGTCTTCCCAAGGGAAAATGAGACTGTTTTATAAGAAGCCACTTTAAGGGTAGATGTGAGAATCCAAAGCAGTGAAACCCACTACTTCACCTGCCATAATCTGAATGCCCCGACCCTTTCCCTAGTATATCCCCCGGGAAGCAGTAACAATCAGGAACTGTGCTTACTGTTTGGGGATGAAAAACTGACAGTTTCCATCAAATAAAAGATAAGTTATTACCCAACCCTGAAATGCAAATACTTACATTTGTCTTTGAGTTACCTAAGAAACACCTGCCAAGCATTAACCCCTTAATTCTTATAATTCCTAAAATGCTCAGTCACTACCACTCACATTCTACTACTGAGGAAGCCAAGACACAGTGGGGTTAAGAGAGTTCAAGGAGATCAGCAGAAATTTGATTTAAACATCACCTACCACCCAACTTTGTTTTAAAAAAAAAAGTCCTTAACAAATGCAATGCAGTGTCACAAGATCAGTCAGGCACAGGAAAGGCTCAAGAAAGGGATCTGAAGCAAAAGGGCTCCTTGAGGTGTGTTTCCGAAGGGAAATGTGGATTCTGCTCTTGGCTCTTCTGGAAGGCCCACCCCCTCACTGTGGCAAGTGGGCAGTCTGCTGGCTGAGAAGCAGGACACCACACAGCAACTGCACACCCAGGAACAGCACCGCGGCCACTGAGAAATCGAAACCCCTGTTAAGTGCATCACTTCAGCGTGTAAGAGTCACCCAGAAGGTCACCAAGCCGCCCAAAGACTAAATAAGTGTCCTTGGACTCAAGGTCTGCTCTGCTATGTGGAACAACTCAAAGTGTTGTGCTTAGGAGGCACTAAAGAGTACACTGCCTAGGTTCAAATCTCAGCTCCACCAACCACTAGTCATGTGACCTTGAATGAGTCACAACCTCTGTGCCTCTAATTTTCTCATCCATAAATTTAAGGCAACAACATTAGAGTAAGCACTCACTAAATGATGCCTGCCGTTCTTATTATCATTCAGAATGTTGTCAGATCCAAGGCCTGTCCTCTTCTGACACTGTCCTTACATCATGGTATATGTGACAGTATGCGCCCCCATCCCAAGAGCAAAACTCTGCTTTCAACCAAGAGTGGTGAAAAAAAAATCAGAACAAAACAATAAACAAAAGGCCTATATTAACTATTTCATTAAATGATGAAGTTTAATGGTGTGAGAGCTAAAAAACCAATAAGCACTCATAGACTCCACATTCATAAGAAGGTATTTAAATCAATAGTTTAAACTGACTTTTCCCACAAAAAGTACATTTATATTGTTCGAGATAACCACAAGAGACATACCCCCAACTAAGAGATAGGTATGAGTTTCATTTTTAAAAGACAGAATCTATGAAAATGCACTAATTAATTTCCATAATATTTTAGATTAGTTTTACTTTCAAATAACATTCCATTTCAAATATCAATTTAACTTTTAAATAACTAAGAAGTAAACTACCTTTAATTCAAATATGTAATTATAATTTTGGGGTGGCATTTTCACCAAGTTTCCTTAAAGACAGGAAGTATTTATTAATTAGCAACAGTGACAGCTAACGTTTTATTACACACTAACTAAATGCCTAATAAGCTAGGTGTTAATTTCTACATATTACCTCATTCTCTTAATCCTTCGAGGGAGATAGATGCTCATTTTTTTCAGAAAAACCTCTGCCTTGAGGTTGATGATTAATGGTTCCGATAGAGAACTGATTGCTAGCACCTGTGAAAGGTTTTAAACACTGAAATGATACAGAAAAGTAAGTCTCAAACTTTACTGTGTGTGAGAATCGCCTCATATATCTTGTTAAACTGCAGATTATGATTCAGAAGGTCTGGGTGAGGCCTTGGATTCAGCCTTTCTAACAAGCACTCAGGTGCTGCTGACCACACTTGGAGCAGGGACCTACAGGTGGCAACAGGCCACAGACCACAAAAAAAGTCTCAATACTAAAATGAGAAAAAGTCAAAATCTTCTCAAAACCCACAGAATTAGAACTTATATTAACATATTTCTTGATGGGATTCTGAGCTTTGTAACATCTTAGAAATACCCTTGAAACGACTCTCTTCTTTTCCAGTTTGAGAGTCCAACTTCTTGGAGTTTTGTGGGGCTTTTTCTCCCTAAAACCCCTAATTTTCATCAAGGCTGAGAAGCTAAATGCATGGAAGGCTGTTTCAAGTTGCTGTTTCCTTCAAGCATGTCCCCATTCTTCATTCACCCGCACACAACACAACTTCTCACTGTTTAAATTCTAGAGATTAGTCAAAGGGTAAGAGTAAAGTGAGATTTTAGGGGCTGAGCCCCAAAGTTCTTTCAGACGAAAAGTAAAGTTTAACTAAAAAAAATAGCACCTTACAAAAAGGCAATCATAAATACCACTGGCTTCCATTTCTGGCCTTAGGTGACAAAATTCCAACAAAGAGGTGGTAACATTTTATACAAACTACTGGGTTTCATTCTTTTACCAGATCTTTTAAGTGGCAAGCTCTCTTTACTTTCAAAAGTCCATAGTAAGCAAAGCAAGGTACTTAACAAGGTCCTATATTCCACCTGAGTCCAAGTTCCTGCCCTGCCCTTTTATTCACTTCTGTGCTGTACTCAAACATTGGCTGGCTGCCTCTTTCAAAAGGTAGTTAGTTATACATGACCCCCCCACCTCCTCCATTCTCTTTGCTAACAGCAATGTCTAACTTCAGAACCAACAGATCTCTGAGAACATTCCAGTTCACTAGATAAGGTCAGTTTACCATTCTAAAGAGGAATAACCTGCTCCATTTGTCTTTTATGAGAGCCCTTCAAAAATACCTTCCCACAATCGGCAGAACAAGCCTTTCACCCAAAAGAGATAAAACCATCTATGATTCTGCAATTTACAAACACTGAGACCTTTATTTAAAGGATATCTACATATTACGTTATTCCCCAGGAACATTTATCAATGCACTCAAGTAAGCACAAGAAGACCAATGCTTGGAAGAAAGAAACAAACTACATACATTGCAGCTCAGTGCAAAAGACTTCCCTGGCTGAAAGTCTATAGTTTTGTTGCCCCGCCTCAGAGGAAGGCCTACCTGTGTCAGGGAATATCGGGACAGCTTTTTCTGAACTGGAGCTTGCTATATCCACAACAGAGCTAAGTAACTAACCAGAAAGGCCTGTAAGAAAACCACAAAAGAGGGGCATAGGGGACAGGCCCCTGCCTTGTGAACACCCTGTAAGCTAAAAATAAGAATTCTGAGAAACGAGCCCTATCATAGACAATCCTCTGTTTCTGTTACCTCCAAAACTGGCTGCCCTCCCAGAGTGATTTAACTCTGGGTACCAATTGGGTAATGCCAGCCACGGTGCTGGGACAGAGGATTCAGGGATGCTGGTTCTGTCTTTTAGGTTAATTAGGAGGAATCAAACCTCTGCAGTATAAACTGGAGACTCTGGGCAGATCTGGGTTCCCCCAACGCACCTAGACTACATGCTTCCATTCAACAAATATTTATTTGAGCGACTACCATATGCTCGGCACTCTTCTGGGCGCCGAGTTGGAAACCAAGCCATAGAACACTGTGGTGGAAGCCGAGACAAACGAGGACCATTCTGAGGAGTACAGGATGTGAGGGCCCAAAAACCTGCCACAAGTTGCTATGACCAGAAGTACCCAAGGGACACCATGACCGCCGGGATCCGCGCACCACCAAGCCCAATTATGAAAGAGGCTCGAGACAGCGAATGCGGGAGTGGACAAGTAGGCCCAAGGGCAGGTGTTCAGGTAGAAGGCGCACACCTGAGGCGGCAGGGCTGGGTAAGGCAGGGTCCCGAGGGGAGGAGGGAGGGCGACCCGGGGACCCCGGAAAGGAGAGAAGCTGCAAGGAGCGGAGGTCTGGCCATGGCAAGCGGGTGCGCGGCGGAGGCCGGCCAGGCCTGCGCCCCCCGAAGCGGGAGCAGGGAGGGAAGGCGCGCAGCTAGGCCGCCCGCCGACACCTGGGGCCCCGCCCGGTACCTACCACTTGGGCGACCTTGAGGCA